ATTGTAACAAGTGGTTAACATATTTATTTATATCAAATGGCGGGCGTTTTGATGATTGTCCTTAGCCCTTTAGTTGACTTCGGGCTTCACAGAGAGGAAGGAACATCGAAGGGAAAAAAGTCGAGAGGGTGGGGAGGGAAGAGAAGAGTGTTTCAAAGATGTAAAAGAGACAGACACAAAGGTAGAAAAAAGGTGAGGTGATTACTGTGGAAGGGGTCGAATATGACATACAGTGTGGGTGATGGCAGTTTGAAGTGAGAAGTCAACTGCCAGTTAATTGACTTTTTGCCGTATGAGTATACGTTGCCCAGGGTACACCACGTGGAGGTAAGTCTATCGCACACCCCACAAGTGGTTAAAATTAGGATATATACATTCGTGAGAGCATAGTAACAACAGTACTTCAGACCACATGCAAGGAGGGATTGTGTGACTCTGAGCGCAAGACCATGAAATGAGTCCAGTTCACTCCCTTTTATCTTATATATGTTGTCCATTTTTACTAAAAGTCAAAATCTTCCTGTTGACAATATGGACAAGAATGTATATAATAACCAAGCTGTGGGATATGCCATTCTAAGGATTAAACAGTGATTCCTTCTAAACTAACGTCTCAATGGGACTCAAATTGATATTTGGGGCAAATGTCTAATGAAAGTGGTGCTATTGCTGTGAAGAGTACTGCCATAATTCCTGAGTTATAAGACGCCGCCCAAATTTTGGACACAATGAAAAAGAAGAGTAAAACCGATGGGAAGCAAAAGTTCGCTGAATTGGAAGGGAAGAATTTGATATCAGTGCTTCGCAATCGAATAGCTGATTAATCGACACATTAGAGCCAGTTATGATTATTTTTTAATGGATGGATCCTTAAGGGTTCCATATCATGTTTACTTCCTTTGTGGATTTGGAATTATGGAGAGGTATTGATAGCAAGTCATGCAAATGCTGTTGTCAGGGTGTTCGCTTGCAGTTTAGCTCACTCGGTTCAGGCGGGAGTGAAGGTAGGTACATTCTAGGCATACTTAAAATAGAGGAAAGAATTTTCCTGACATTTATTATATAGTTAATCTAATTTTGATAATTATTTACAATGGAAGAAGATAAACTATTGTTTTCAATGTCTTTGTCTTTACTGTAAGGTGAAAATGGGGTGAAGGACGAATATTTACTGCTACAACTAATGTTAATTTAATATTGAAAACATTTCTAAACTTTTATTAACTTTAAGTCTGAGTCGGCTAAAAACAATATGAATTTCAATAAATAACAAATGACTGTTATTTCTATTAAATTTACTGAATAAAACAGACACCATTTGTTTTTTTATTTACATTATACGTGGTCTTGCCCAAGTGTTTCATATAAACGGTCTATGTAGTTCTACTCCTGCACAAACACTCCTCTCTTCGACTATAATTTTGCTGCTGCTATACCATGGATTTCGGTTGACATTCAATGCCTCGAGTTCTGCATGATTCAAGATTATTGCCACTTGGGTTCTCGCTACTCCAACGCCACAAACAATTTAAGAATTAATCGTTATTTCAAAGACAATTATAAGGGGTGTGGGATAGACTTACCTCCACGCGTTGCACCTTGGGTAACGTGTACTCCTGCGGCAAAAAGTCTTTGAACTGGCAGTTGACTTCAAACTATCATGTCCAAACTCTATGTCATATTTGACCACTTCCGCAGTGCTCACCTTACCTTTTCTCTGTCTTTGCGTCTATCTGTAGGCCTATTTTACATCTGTGAATCACACTTCTGTTCCCCCTCTTCACCTTTTGTGACTTTGATATTCCTTCTCCACTGTGAAGCCGAAGTCAAATAAAGGGCACATGATAAATATCATTGAGCCTGCCATTTGATATAAATAACTTATTATTATAATGGGAAGATACGAAATATGTATCAATTTCGTCGAGCAAAAATAGTTACTAGATTTGAGTAATTAGTTAATCCTTTTGAATTCAGTATAATGCTTTATCAGAATTATTTGGCATAGTTATTGAAAATTGTTTATAAGTAATGGAAAATGGATGCAAACATATGCGCACAAAAGATTTATATTTTTGCCTAATTAATCCCATTATTTATCTATTAATTATAACGATTTTACAAAGCTTTAAATGCATTTCAATTACGAACAATTAATTAACTTAGAAGGCATATGCTTACTTGGATCTTTAATATTGAACCTTCCCAAGAACTTCATCATCTTGTTTTAGAAACCTGATGCTTGTTTTTTATTATAAGCTAACTAGTTTTACCTTAATTGGGAACAATATTGGACATGATTTAATTAAAAATGTGAAATAGCTAGATACTAAATCGGTTTCATCTGGCTGGGTTTACTTCAATTCATTGCTATGCATTGCCTTCAAAATGGAGCCACTGTAATACGATTATAGGTAAAAAAGTATAACTACCTCAGAATGAATGTGATAAAAGAATTTAGCAAATTTTAATTTTTCTCTTTTCGTATTTCGAAAGGTATGTGATTTCCAATTTTAGACGACGTCAGTCTTATTCACACACGGACGCTACCAGGCGATGAAGAGCGCAGATTCACTTTTCTATGTGCACACGTGAAATGTTTTATAGCTAGATCTTTAAAGAAAGTTCAATTTACTATGCCTGATTTAGGAAAGGACTATTTACAGGAATGAAATTATGTGAGTAAAAAATGTGAGACCTTGTATCCAGTCAACCACATCTATCTGTCTATCGCAGTTTCATTCACGCAAAGCACAATCGATTTGTTTTAAAAAATTGTTAGTTAAAAAAGCGTTGTGGTTGGTTGACTTCGGATGTTGAAAATTAGATGGAGTGGACGAGATCTGCTACTTTACATTATCTATGACAGAATGACTCAATTTCAAATCATTATTAATCGTCTTAACAGAAGCTACATTAGAAAGTTCAAATAACGATAAAATAGGAAGCAGAGATCAGATTTTGGTAGAAGTATGAAAACAGTGGTAGCAGATATGTATGATTTGTTTACAGACGTCTCAGGTACTGCAGAACCTTAATTTATTGCGGTCAATAAGTGGGGTCAAAGTGTACTCTCTTGGTTATAACTCATTTACGGATAAGACACAAAAACATTTGTATGGTCTGCGAAAGATAATATAGCTTTAGGCATTTCAAAGTCGTCAGATGTGAAAATTATGTTTGCTTATCAATTGTTATAACCTGATATATCTTCCACTTTATTCGAAAACCTCATAACTATACGAAAGACATACAAATATCTCATTTTCACTAATCAGTAAGTTAAATCAAAATATTAATGATAAATTACTTTGCAAAATTCTTTCACTAAAAAATTTTTAAGTATATATGTATAAAAATGCATTGCTATGGAAGTACATAAAGGTAAATTATGCCGAGTTAATAAAGAAAGTGTGAAATTTAATTATGCTGATTTCCATAATTCATTCCTTTTAACTAAAACTTATAATTGAAGTAACATTGAATAAGACTCCTATTTCAGAGATTAACAATATTTTCCAAGCCTGATATTTGGGAACCAGTTTTTATTATCAAAAATAGTTGGCCATCTCACAAAACCTGATAGTGTGCCGAAAATTATAATGAAAGAAAAATTACGTCATCTTCCTTAAATTATACAAATTGAAAAATATATATTAAAAATAGATAATTAACATTACTGGGTTCATTAAAACTCATCTAAAAATAGTATTATGGAAACAAAATTAACTAATAATAATATTCATTATTACATTGCAAAGTAGTCTATAAAATAGAAATAGAATAAAACTATGAAGTTATTCGGTTATCGTTTCCACCATTTTAGAATGATGGAGTTAAAATTTCTACTAAATTTGTTTTAAGTAATTTTTGTCTTTGGCGGTGTAGATTGTGCTGTGAAAATAAAATGACTGATGCTGGTTTCTTTAAGGTAGTTCTGGATTCCTTCTTATATTACACCTTTATTAGGGTACAAACACGGAACAAGATTCCAGATTCGCTGACAAAAAGAAGAAGCTTCTAAAGAGCATGAAGTTTGAGGAAAATTTGAGCGCGAAAGTAGTTCTAGTCATTCAGTCATTTTATTTTATCTAGGTTGATACCACAAGAATAAATGTGGATTCAATAAAACCTTGGATCGTCAAACGCATCACAGAGCTACTCTCATTCGATGATGATATCGTCTGCGATTTCGTGGTTAATATGCTCGCTGAACAGGTAGTTTTAAACCCTTTTTAGTATTTTTATAATTTTCTTATCACATTTAAACAAAACTTGATTAAAAATGCATTGGTTTAATTAAAAGGTTGGTTAGGGTATCGCATGATTTGATATCCCAATAACAAATAAGCTTTTGTCTTATAAGTTCTGGTTGGTATTTCAGGTGTTACCATGGCCTTCTATCAACTTAAGTGTATTGGAGCGATGGCTCGCAGTTTGAACCTGCTACAGTGTTTCTACTGGTACCAAATTATGACGTAGTACCCACTATTTTTTAGGCCACCGATACTATCGTATCTAAATGCCTTTGCGTTTGCCTCAACATCTTTTCTTCCTTTTTGTGTTCCATCTAGTCCCCGGATCCAAAGGAGATTCAAATCAACCTAAGTGCTTTTCTGGGAAGCAAAAATGCAAGGATATTCGTTGGAGAACTATGGGATCTGCTACTGTCTGCAATGAATACACCTGGAGGTGTTCCAGCCATTTTGCTTGAAGCCAAAAAGGCGGAAATTCTCAGCTCTAGGGTAAAATTGGATTTGATCGTAATGTCGTTTTTTAGTCTGCATATATATATTGTGTCCTTCGACTTAGGCTTTTATTTAATACTGGATTAGCTTATCATATCGATAACTTATTTTAAACATGCTCGTCTATGAAGTCTGTTGATGTGTTTACGCTCGCCTAATGAATGCAATGTCCAAATATGGGTTATCAAGTTGGCTGTACCTAGAGTTTCTGTTCTTCATGGTACTATCTACTCAAGTTTAACAATGATAACAAATTCTAAAAAGGTCTATGGAAGCAAAAAGTTTTAATCACTCATAAAAAAATCTTGTACTTAACTGGGGTTTCCTGGTGTTTTTTTAATATTCAAAATGCTTTTACAACCGTTTCTTTTTGTCTCGTAACATTTGTTCATGGAATTAAGCCGCATATTTCATCCAAAACCGTTCTAAGTATCATTTTAATAAGGCTAGTACAAGTTTAAGCACGCTTATGAGACCTGTTTTGTTTCCTTTAATTTTTTACGTAGGCTCAAGAGGAGAAATTCAAGTCTGAGCAACTATTCTCACGACAAGCAGCTGGTAGTCATGGCGATGGCCCATCATCTAATCGATCAGATGGAAGTGCTTCTCCCGCAAGAAGTGAAAGGCGTCGCAGACATTACTGTAAGTTTCTACATTTAAATTATTTTTCTACTTACAAATTAGCGTGTTTTCTATCGTGAGTATGAACTAAGATCTGAGAGTGCCACTTATGTTCGTTAAACAAGTGATTATTTTAGTTTTAGCAATCCTTCCAAATTTGAGCATGAAACTCCATTTTCAATGGAGACTACCCTTATTAAGAAAATGTGATTTCTCGCATTATGCCGCCTATTGGCTACAATATTGCGCGAGGCTTGAAATTTATTTGTACAATTCTTCGTTTAATTCGCAAATGTAATCTTCACGATTCTGGACTGATTAACGTATACATTTGCTTATGTCGTGAAATCCTAGGCATTTATTGTCTCAAACGTTAAGAGTTGATGCTCATTATTGTCCGCTTTCTAAGCCTTTTGTTTCTTGTTTTGTGATATCTAGGTTCTGCCAATAATTATCAACAAAGATTGCTTTGTTTTTACTCTGGTACACAGTTTGTTTCAATTCTATTGCTTAATAGAATCTATAATATTTCGACCTTTTTTGGATTACTTCCTTTCCATGTAATCTTTATCAAGTTAGGCTATTATGGTCCAAAATACTGTACCAGCATTTTCATATGTAGATAACCTGTTTTGAGCCTACAATCATTCAGTTTATCAGAGTGTATCCTCCAATTTGCCTTTTTGAGGCCTTTTATGTCATGTTACTTTGTCGATTTGAATGTGTGGCTTCCCTCTACAAATGACGTAGTTGCCTTTCTCCTATATCTTAGCTTCTTCACCTGAGTCTCCTGCCGGCCGTTCCGATCGTGAACGCCGAAGACGCGATGAAGAACGTGATCGAAGTGAAGTAGATGATTGGGGTCGTAGAGTAAGTATTCTTTGACACCCTTTGCGAGAAAGTGAACTATTTTAGTAAAGCCGTTTTTTTTATTTTTAGAAAAGACGCCGCTCAAGATCTCATTATGGTCGTCACGACAGCCGTGGACATCATAGACGAGGTCATGGACGTCATCATGATCACTCACCACGTGGTCGCCGCAATCATCACGGTGACGATAGTAGAGATCGTGGTCGACGTGACAAGTGATTTTGAAAACTCTTATCTACTTAAATAATTTCAGCAGTATGGACTTTTTAAATACTGTTACATTGCAGATCACGAGAGGAGCGAGAAGATAGACGAGAACATAGACCGGATGGTCCAATTTGTGTACCAAGGGATTCGAGTCCTTCATCTCAACGTGAAAAGTCGCCATCCAGAGAACTTGTACAACATCTTCCCCCACTTACAGCTGATTCTCAGTGGAACGAAAAAAGACGTGATATTGAAGTCGATGATGGCGTTGTTGACAGGTAATTCCCAGACTGCTAAAATCACCTGTTTAACTAATCCTTCATAATGCCCTTTCGGATTAATTTGGGAATTTGTTGAATCATCATTGAAGTAATATTTTTTCGCTTTAAGCTTAATTGACGAAAACTTTTGGTTTGCAGCTTACTCTAAAGCTCCCCGTGAAACAGCTTCTTCATAAAGGGCTTCGAAATAATTTTTTCTTAAATAAGTTGTGCATGGTGCGGTTTGTATTATGGAGATATTTTCTTGCCTATTAACACCGGTACTTAGACCTCGGCACGAGGGAAGATCTCCTGTTCATGAAGAAAAGTGTCGACGCGAACGTGAGGAAAGACGAAGGGCTGAAATAGAATCTGATAAGTAAATGGTAATGCATTTAAGACCATTTACGTAATTTAACAGCGTTTACTAGAGAAGTAAGTTGGCTTCTAGGATTGCTTGTAAATTGAATGTCATATTTTTACTTAGTAATCATTGTAGAGTATGTTTGGTTAGAGTCTTCGAGTGGAGAGGAACCTACACAAGAATGAAGTGATTTCTACTTGTTGAAGGCTGTGTTGACAAAGCGAAATTCCAGACCTTCTCGTGGGAACTTGTAGTTTTGTCAGGAGGAAGAAATAAGCACCGGGTCGAATGAACGGCATCTTCTCTAATGTCAGTACGATTAAATATTGGGTCTAAAGGGATGCTGGGTTAGTACTGTTTATTGCCGATTGAGAAATGCTCAATTTCCGCAACGCACGTTGTCTTCATTCGAATCTATTGCCAGTCACTTCATAGAGTTACTTATTTTAACAAGTATGGAGCATGTTCGAATGCACTTACAGATACAATCGAAGTGCGATTCGTATTGGTTGGTTGGGAGCAAAAGCATTTATATCAAATGGCAAGCGTTTTGATAGCTATCATTAGTCCTATAGTTGGCTTCAGGCTTCACAGAGGGGAAGGAATATCAAAGTAAATAAAAGTTGCGAGGGGGGGGGG